AGAGAACAAATGCTGGCAAACACCCATGAACATAAGAAAAAAAATACTGTCTGCACATAAGCAGAATCTACATCATGTATCTGAATCTTGTTCGAATTAAGGGGAAATTACAAACAGACTGGGATCACTGCAAAGCCTTTTCAAAACCCCAGATAAAATGCAGGTTTGAGAGGTTTCAAAGATATTGTTAAAGTGACCAATCAGGTGGATTTGTTAATCCTACATTTCCTCTATCATAAACTCACGTTTAAGCTAAAGACTTTGTTTTTACATAATGCAAAGGTGGTCAGAAAATTGTGCATTGAAGCTGAAGTTCGGCGTTCCACGTGACACAACATCCATCTTCTGCAGCTCTAAGCTGCTTTATCAGCTGCCTTGTGTCAGCTTTGTTGTTTTAATTTTATTTAATACAATTGGAAAAAAGTTTAAATATATTTCTTTATATATTAGAATATGTTTTCTTATAGGAGACACATTATGCAAACTCTACTTTTTAGAAAAAAAACAAACAAAATATTTGTTGGGTAATTGTGAGTATGTAGATTTTCAGAAAGCTTTAGTTTAATCTCCCCATATATATTTCCAGTTATTTCATTTTCTATCAGTTTTTTTTTTTTTTTCAGTCCAAGTTAAAGGACTCCAAAGCAACAAGTGGATGAACGTAGATATTGGGTGCATTAACTTACATAAGTCATTACAGCGTTCCCCAGCACTAGAACCTACTTCAAGCGTCTGGTTAAGTATATTTTTGTCATTAAAATGTAAATACATCATCAAAAAAAGGTATTTATTGTTTATGTGTAGCACAAGGGAGACCAGTGCTTCTGCAGCTCGGATACATTCAGTAATGTTCTTGATGCTAGCATTAGCTAACTTGTTAAATATGGAGGGGTGTGGTATAAAAGACATGTTCAAGTTGCTTTGGACCTATAATGACTTTTTTTTCCTTGAAAGCCTCAGCTCAGAATGCACATATAGAAAACAGACAGAATGAAGCAGTTTGTAGAGGAACAAGCATTGGAGATGTCATGATACCTAATGGTTAAAAGTCTTTAGGAAGTCTGTGTTCGTTCATATTGTGGTAGCATTTATATCTTAACAGGTATCTGACATGTAGTTTTATATTGAACATATTAGTAACCATACCAGGATTACACTTTGTGTTATTATTGTAAATAATTAAAACGAGTCGCTGTGAAGCACCTACGAAAAATCACTGAAATGGATGACTGCAAAGCTGCATAAACCAACACATTCAGACCAACGCATTGCAGTTCCACTTTTGGTCCCCTTTAAATGTTTGTTTTTTTCTCTCTCTCTTTTTAAAACAGCTTTTATTATTATTTCTTTTGGTCATTATTAATATTTTTATGTATTTCTTTTTTAATGCTTTTCTTTTTTGTAGTACTTTGAGGTCTTTCTGATGAAAATTCCGTAAAAATTACGGAATGACTATGACCTGGATGACTGAGAACCTTCATCAGCATTTCTGATGAAAAGTGCAGTATAAATCAAATGTATTATTATTATTATTATGGTAGTATGTTTGTGGAACATACTACCAGTTTTAGTCCGTGAGGCAGACACCCTGTGTACTATAAGGCTAGGCTTAAAACGTACCTTTTTGATAAAGCTTATAGTTATAGTGGCCCAGGTTATCCTGAGTTATCTCTATAGTTATGCTGCTATAGGCTTAGACTGCTGGAGGACATAGGGATCCTTTTTTACAGCTTTCTACAAAAGATATTTACAAACAAAAACAAAACAAAAAGGTTTTACTCTTGGTTAAGAACCGTTCTAAAATAAAATAATGTTGTGATGTTGTGATAATGTTGTGATGACTATTAGGGATGGGACACCATGTTTTTCCTGACATTGCTCTAAAACAAAGGAATCTAGAGAACTGGTTGTTCAAAAGAATCAAAATTGCTCTTCAGACCAGAATCTGCTACTTCCTCTCTACATTAATGTCATTTCTTTCCACCAATGAGAAACAAATTTTACTTAACTCACAATTTTTACCAACTATATCCCTTTAATTACTGTTAAGTTACAGATTGTTACAATTAGAATCTTTAAAAACTTGTCTTAACCTAAACTCATCTACTTTCCTGTCATTGGGGTTTTAGTAGAACATTATTATTAAGCTGTTTATCAATAGATCCTATGAAAATATCTGTTCTGTTAGATTTAACCCTCTGTATAAAGTTCACCATCAACTGTCTGCTAGTAATGTGTCTGACTCTCTGCTGTCACTCTCATGAACATGAATGCCTGATTTCATGGGGATAACAGAAATGGTCGAAGATTTGCTGCCTCACAGATATCGAACTTATCCCGAACCGAAGCAGGCTGCCAGCATTGAATCCCTAACGCATGCAAATGTGCAGTGGCCACTCATTTCTATTTTGGCATGTGTGGGGAGTGGAGTTTTGCTGGGCGCTTTTCAGGCCGGCCTTTGGGATGTGTGAACACAACAAAGGGAGATATGAACCGCAATGGAAACAACAAAAGAAGGGAAGAAAGTAAAGAAAGACTGAAGCAAACAAACAAACCAAACTTAGCAAAGCCCTCTGCTGGGCTGGGGCCGGGACTGGAGCGAATGTGTGCGTATGTGCGAGGCGATGTGAGCAGAGTGCTGGGGATTAGGACAGATCCTGGGCTGTCCAACTCACAGCTGGCTGATGATCCAATCCTGGAGCACAGCGCGGCGCACCAGCCGCCGTGGGACCCCCCCGAGTGCGTGCCTGCATCTGCGGGTGTATGAGCGCTTGTGTGTAGAGGCATGTGGGTTCAGCTGATGTGCATACGAATGCACATGTCTGTGGAAATTAACTTGCACAAATTGGGGTGCAACTGGTTGAAAACCACATGTAGAGTAAAGTGAGTAAGGGATGGTTGGCCACGCTTCTGTCAACTGTTCGAATGAATAGAGGACATGTGAAAGAGTAGAGGGAAAAAGTCACAAAAAGATCAAAGTGCTTTTTTAACTCAAAGGATGATCATACAAATAACTTCCAGTTTAGCTGCAGCTTTCCTACTAAAGCTACAAACGCTAACATGTCTTTTTAGTTAGGAAGGTAAAGTGGATAAAATCCCTAGAAATATTTATATGAACAGAGAAGAAGAAGAATAGTAAGAGCACATAGTTAAAGGTTGCCGGCCTGCTGAAGGGTGAGCCTCTTCCCTCAGATTCATTTTCTCCATCAGTTCCAGCCAGCTTTATCGTACCAGATGAAGAAAAGACTACCCACAGCATGATGCTACCACCACCATGCTTCACTGTGGAGAGGGAGAAGTCAGGATGATCTATTTTTGAAAAAGTGTCCCTTACTTTGTGCTTTAATTTCCACAATTACAAAAATACTCCACAAAGAAAAAAAAGTTAAAAGTTACAGTCCAGAATCAAAGACAAAATAGAAGGTATGAGGGACAAAATGTGAATACTTGGGTACAAAATAGGGCTACATATTCCTGGATACGCAACCTGACACAGAGAGCTGTACCAGCCTAGGTATGCTGGACGTTTCCTGTTTTACGTGTCGCAATCATTTGCTTTCAAATGCAATCATAATATTTCTGTTAGAACGGAATATTTTGGTAAAAATTAAAATCTTGAGTTGCTTTTGCTTCAAATGACTAAAATTGAATTTTAATGACTACATGCTGGGCCAAGTCAACAGCTGTCAAACATCTAATCCGCACCAGAGGACAGATAAAACTATAAACCCATTCATGCACACAGTGACACACGCCGAGTTAAATGGTTCAGTACAGTGGGTCCTCCAACACAGGTCAAAGTCATTGTGTTTGCCACATTAATATGCACATCATTCTCCACAGCTGGTAGGAAAAATAAAAAAAACACACACCCACACATACACCGTCTCTAGCTTTAAACACACACCAGCCCACCATGAAGCCAATGTGTAAGTGCTGGCAAGCCGACAGACTAACACACTTGAAAAGAGATTAAAGCAAAAAGCTGCAACAAACTCAAACTCAAACACAAACGCTGACAAATAAACACACAAAGATCCAGAATACTAGCACCACACGGCCCCCAGCACCACAGGACATTTCTGCCACATCTGTGCCCGGCTCACAAGCATCGGCTGAGGGTAACGGGGG